GAATATGATCAAGGCATGATAATAGGTATAAAAGAAAGTAGGTCTCAAATAAAAGAAATTGAAAAACGGATAAATCGCATTTACGAACACTATACAAAATTTCTTAAAATATCCTAGTGGTTATGGCACAACAAATGGTGTCGATGCTTCATGCATATATACATATAAGTATGTATATATATACTTATAGGCCTATTCTGTGCACTTGATAAATTCACCATCTTGCTTATTTATCAAGATTGACAATTCATCAATATTGACAATTTATAAAGATTTTTATATTATATTATTTTATTATATATATTATATTATTTTTTATTCTCAAAAATAAAAAGCTTTTTACTTGATAAATTGTCAAGATGTCAAATGCTCCTGACAAAGTTTTTTTTTAAGAATAAAACAACTTTTTACTGTTTTTGCATAGTTGTGAATAACTAATTGTAAGAAAAGAAGCTACATATTTTACATACGAGTACATATATTGTTAAGAGATAACACATTTTCGCAAAATTTTGACTTGCGAAATTTGCCGTCATCTCAAGGAATTTCAATGTCCTTAATCATAAGAGTGCTAGTGGTCTTAGGCTTCTTTGAGTATGGCTCATATCAAAAATGTGTAGGCAACACTTTTGACTTGCCCATGAGTCAGTCGTTACTTCCCGAAAGTTTACTTATTGTAAAGATGAAGGGTGGAGAAAAAAAATGGCCCAGTTCGACAGAGGAAGAAACTACTGTAAAAACAGAGTATGTTGATGCAAATAAAAAAAACACTTAAGCTCATTTGTCTCAAAAGTATTCCAGCCTCTAATGCCAGTTGAAGAAATTAAATCCGCCTAAGAACTAAAGTACAACAAACTAAATGGTTCCGTCAGTATACAGTACATACGGAAGGAGAAAGGCTTATCTCCATATATATTTCGTCTCTAAAAAATAATAATCAAAATGTAAACATTTTCACATTTGACTTTCCAAATATATTTATGCACTACAATTTTGTAATACAACTACACATATATGTTTATTTATTATTCCATTATTCTACAATAAAATAATTGATGCTAGCAAAAACAGCTGATTTTTCTTTACATTTCACTGTTCACCACACGTGTGGAGAAAAGCATAACAAACTGAAGCTTTATGCTTTATCAAGATTGACACAGAATACCAAATAAATTTTTGCTTCATAAAAATCTTGATAAATTATCAATATTTTATTAACTTATCAAGTGCACAGAATAGGGCTGTTAGAATACAAAAACTAGCGGTGGCTGTAGAAATGTCTAGCGGACAAATAAAAAGGCAAATATATCCTGGCATATCAAGAAGTAGAAAAGTTCTAATATCTCTTGCATCAAAATCCGAAAATCATGCATACTACCATGGCTAAACAGCCAAAACTTCTGGCCTTTGCCACAAAGTACCCCATTTTTCTTTAGTGAAGAAAATAAATTTTTCTTAATTTGTATGGGCCCGACTGTTACAAGAAATATTGGCATCATAAGGATAACAAACAGCGCGTCTGCTGTACTCGTGTTCATAAGGGAGAATCGGTGCTAATATGGGCAACTTTCCGTCATAACAACAAAATTGTATGCGGAAATGTACGTTAACTTATTGGATGACGAACTGATAGAATTTACTGTTCAGCTTTAAGGCGATAGTTGGACATATCAGCTGAATAATGAGCCAATACAGCATACAAAGGAAGTTATTTTCCTTCAGAAATATATCACTACTGCAATGGCCAACAATAAGTGCAGTCTTTAGCTCCATCGAGGATCTCTGGGGGATCACTTCTAGAAATGTGTATAGAATAGGAAAAAACAAGAATGGCGGTACATCAGGCCAACCACATTAAAACCATTAATTAATTATATCTCCATTTAAATTACTAATAAAGGGTGGTTTTTTAGTAATTATCTTTTTGGCAACACTGGTTTAAACGGCTGACGAACGTTTCATGTTTTGTATCACTGTCAAACTTCGTGAGATACCGGCGGAAATGTTAAGAGAGTTTGCCAAAAAAATTGACTAAGCGGGTGGACCATTTGAGCCACAGTCGCGGTCAACATTTGCATGAAATAATCATCAAACATTAAATTATATGGAACGTGCTTTCGATTCAAATAAAGATTTCATTCATTTTTCTGAATTTTATGTGTTTTTTTTTTCTTTTTGAAGAACTAAAACTCTTAAAAAATCACCCTTTATAAGTTTTTATTGAAATTTTCTGCTATTAAAAGAAAAATATCATTAAACACACATAAGCAACTTATGAACATTTAATTATTTAAAATGATGAAATCTTTTTTGTTTACTTTTTATTGAATTTTAAGGATACAGTTACAACAAATAATATGCAGTTATATTTACAAAATTTATATACATTTTTATTTTAACACAGAGATAGTTCTGGTAGTAATACACTTACATACATATACTTATTTGTATGAGGTGCATATTTTACATGGCTTTAATACAATAGCTACTTGATACAAAATCCGTTTGAATTTAACCGTTAAATCAGCGCTGAATGATCGTTCGATCTATCATGAATTAGGATGCTTTAAAAATTTATTGATTTTTTTAAAGTTTGTTAAATTTTTTATACTCTTAATATTTTATTGTTAAAAGTTGAAAATCTGAATTTAAATAAATGATTAAAAAAAATATTATGGATTTGTCTTTTTTCTTACTTATTTACTTTACTACCAATATACCATAGCGCCGTTCATTCCTTTCGCTGTTTGGCGCCAATTGGAGATACCAAGAACAGCCATGTCCTTCTCCACCTGGCTTTTCCAAAAGAGTGGAGCTTTTCCTCTTACTCTGCTTTCAACGGGGGGTGCTGCATCGAAAACTTTCAAAGTTGGAGTATTCTTATCCATTCGGACCATATGACCTAGCCAGCGTAGCCGTTGCTTTTTGATTCTCTAACTATGCCGCCGATCCCAACTCGTAGAGGACTTACGCAAAAGCTTTCCCTCGAAAAGTCGATATCTACGCCAGTAGAGGGGGAAAATGGTGATAGTATTTTCTCTCGAAACTCCTAGAGCCGACTCATCACATGTTGTCATCGTTCATGCCTCTGCACCATATCGAAGGGCGGGAACGATAAGTGACTTTCAGAGTTTGGTTTTCGTTCGCCGAGAGAGGACTCTACTTTTCAAATGCCTACTCTGTCCAAAGAAGCACGTGTTGGCAAGAGTGATTTTGCGCTGGATTTCAAGGCTGTCGTTATTATTGGTGTTAATGCTGATTCCTAGATAGACGAAATTATCTCCAAACTCCAAAATTATGACTGTCAACAGTGACGTGGGAGCCGAGTCGCGAATGCGTTGACTGTTTGTGTGATGACAGGAGATATTTTGTCTTATCCTCATTCCCTACCAGATCTTACTTACGCTACACTTCCTTATTTAGTCTCGAGAAAGTAGAGCTCATGGCGAGGTTGTTGCGGTCAATAGTGTCAATATTACATCTTAACATTCCTATAGCAGGCTGAAAATTCTCTCAGCAGGTCTGCCGCTTGTATCATTTTCCATTAAAAAAGTCCCGCGTTAATGAATCACCCTGTCTGAAACATCGTTTTGTATCAAACGGCTAGTTGCTTAACGTCAAGTTAAACAGCCGTATAAGTTTTGCGGGGATATCAGATTTAGACATAGCGGCGTAGAGGCAGCTCCTATTCGTTCCATTGAAGGCGGCTTTAAAATCGGCAAGGAGGCGGTGTGAGTCGACCCTCTTTTCATGGGTCTTATCCAAGATTTGGAAAGTGAATTTACTTATTAGGTCCTAACAGATAGTTAACGTTGGGCTTTAGTCTTCCACACAAAACGACAATCGACAATCCTCCTATCCATAATCTGTGAAGAAATAAACTGATTCGTGTACCTTGACAGTTTTTTGCCATCGTATTTATATAACTCAATCGATGAGTTCTCGACTGCCGCAACATTGTTTTAATTTGATTATTGGAGCGTATTGTCCGTCATAATCGATTGACCGCTCGGGTTCTCTATATATTGCTTATTCACTGCCATTGATCAGGCTGGAGAAGTGTTCCTTCCATAAACTCTGTATGCGCTTGGCATCTCGAACTCTTCTTCTCACGCAATACGATCATCCTTGCCTTGCGGCCAATCGCGACGTTGCGAGGTATGCTCATATATAATGTGTTTTATCTTCACTGTAGTTGGACATTCCCCCATTGTGCCAGTTTTTTTTCGCCCAACATTCTCGTAAAACTTGGTTAGTTTCTATGGAGACAGTTCGCAGCGAGTTTGAAAAGTCGTTCGAATAGAAAATTGAATTTTTACTCAATGATATGTTGTTCACGCTGGCATTAAAATTACCAAACATGAAGTTAACATCATGACAGGTGCCGTGGCCATACGTGTATTCATAGAAAGCAATTTTGTTCCCATTGTTCTTCTCTTCCACTGAGGCGTGAAGAACCTTGAAAGTCACGATGAGTCAACGGAGTATCTCTCACCCTTCACATAGTAGATTTCACAAGGACCTACTCGTTCCGATTTAATTCTGTACATCATACTTCTTGCACTGAGCTCATGTCATTCTTTGAGTGTATGAGGACTTTAAACAGCTGAGCAGCGACTCCTATCGAATTAAGGAGCCAGGTGCATAACCTCAACGCAAGATCCTTAAATCGTAGTCATCAAAAAAATGGTCTCACACCAAGGGTTTTTTGTGATTTTTCATGGGGCACATTTTTGTTTGTGTTGGTTACCAAGCCCTACGCCACAGCACAGAGGCAGGCCTTCCCACTTTAGCTCTTCTCCAAAGAAATATTTTCTGGCTATCCAACGTCCTAAGGCCTGAAGTCATGAGCTGTTTGAGCTTAATAAACCCAACAGCTTTTCAGTCTTGAGTGAATTTCTACGACCACATCCTCCGCATTGCAAGCATACATATACATACATATATAATTATATTTACATACATACATATATACAATAATTAAATTCTACATACTTTATTTGGATTTATTTGTACACATACGTATGATGAATTACAGTTGACATAATGTGTGGACCCTGTAGTGGTATACTAACTATCCACAGGGTGCCACCGAAATGCAAAAATTAACAATAAGCCGTGAGCATGACATCTGAATAATAATGGAAACCAAAAAAAATTAAGAGTTCCTTCTGTACTTACACACACACATATAAACTAAACTATTTTCTCTAGCAAAGACACAAACCAACTGCCGTCAAAACTTTGCATGAGCTCCCATGCCATAGGGTGGTGCATCATTTGTTTGCAGATAATAACACCCGGTGGCGCTGTGAAAGGTTGAAATAGTTAAGGAGTAATGAAAAATTTGAAATCATATCTTATCTTAAATCAATATTGAACATTTTGATTAGAAAATCTCTGAATATTCTACTAAATTAAAACTTGAGGGTGTTCTTAACAGCCAAATTATTGGATTGTGTGCTTATGTGCTTAAACTTATATATTACTATGTAGATTAGTTATATGCATGTATATAAAAAACATAAAAGTATTCCCACCTTTTCGACACCTCTTCGCCCATAAAAGCCATTTCGCCCAAAACCGCTTCATTCCTGATGCTCTTCACCTTCCAGTGGCAATTACTCACATTCAACATTTTTATGGCATTCAAAGTGCAAGAGATGGACGGGAAGTTTTGTGGTTGACCAATTGATTCGGCGTATAGGAATACAGCGCGATCGTGACTACAACTATCTGTTACAGACATAATTACAACATACAATTTTTGCTATAAATATACAGCGAATATATTGGTGTAGTAAAAAGAAATCCATCACTTTTCAATAGATGCCGTCATTTAACTGCATCTCGCCTTGCATAAGTCCGATCAGGTTCCGCTAGATGGCGCTAGAAAGATGACATTTCGTACTAAAAAACTCTTCTGACAGTTTTGTGTTTGATTGATTCAATTTTGTTTGAGCGTTCGTCAAAAATGGACAATAGTAAAGAGAATTTCGTCGATTCCGGTAATTTCGATGTCAAAGTTGCTTCACGGAGTAAAAGGTAAACTGTTCAAAATGTCGAAATTATGGACATTATCGAGTCCGACTGTCATGTAAGCACTCTTTCAATTGCCCAAGAGCTAAAGATTGCGATTGCACAAAAAACCGTTTGGAACCATTTAAATAAGGCTGAATACGAAAAGCAAAAAATTAAAACCGTCAATTTCATGCAAAAATAATGGATTTCTTTTTACTACACCTAATAAGCTTATACAAACATTCATTTCCATACATTGTTCGAATATCAATTGTTTAGCTATCAGCAGCACATCTTTATCGCCACAGCCGGGTTGAGGTGCCGTGCCAAAATTCGGATAGAAATCAACGTTGCCACGTGGTGTGGCATCACCAAAGACGGGGAAATCCGTGTGTATGACATCGACGAACTGTGCGGCGTTGGAGTGCAAGCCGTCACTAGAGAGTGCTGTGAAAAGTGGTAGTGCTGGGTCCAAGCCTGTAACACGTCCCAAACTGCCATTAAAGTAGTCTCCCACATTCCCAGCGATGTGTGCGCCTAAACTGTGGCCGATGATGTGCACATCAGTGGGGGAGATCTCGTGTTTGCTAATGAAATGAAGAAACTAATTACCGGCCAATTTGGTTTCTTGTTCCAAGCAAATATTTTATACTACACAGAATTTTAAGGAAAAAAGTTTATTACATAGGAGCTCCGAAGACAATTTTGACTGCTCTCAATCCCTCTTCATCCTATGTTGAGCCTTTTCTAGTTATTTTTATTTATTTAATTTTTTTTTCAAAGCTTTTTGAAATATTGAATACGACTTTGCTGGGAACCATTTTTACGCTATATATGTATGTATACTTACTCAAGAAAGCCCTTTAGTAGTTGTCCGAGGTACTTCCCCACCTGTCCAATAGCTTTGCGTGAGGTAGGATAGTCCAGAGCAGCAGCATCGGACCAATCAGCTAAGAAAACATTGTCTTTACCTTTGGCGAGATATGCTTTGAAAAGAATTAATGTCAACGAATTATTAATTATACAATTTATTTCATTAAAATCAAGAAAAACAAGTAAGAAAGTATAATCATAAGCAAAGAAGATGATGTTTTTTCCCAACAAAATGGAGGGACCTACAATTTATAGCCGCCTCCGAACGGCTGACGGTTTTTATAAGGAGCTTTATTTCATATCAGAAATTCAATCGGAAGGGCTGGCATTCCCGTGGCCGAGGGGCGACCGCGAGCCTTCCGAATGCCAGCACGCAAAGCTAAACACTCGGCTACCGCGGCCGCTAAGTTAAGTCCGACAAAAATTTTTCTTTCATTCAAATATGGGTTGACGAGATCTCAAAAACGGTTATTTTGGCGATTAAGGACAAAATTAAGTTCAGCGGTTCGGATGATTTTGCTTGAAAAATAAGTATCCAAACTTTCATTATTTAATTAAGGCACTCCTCAATCATAGTATTATATTTCCAGAAATCATTTAACTTTGTTCGAAAGAATTTGCTTGTCGCGATTTCTTCTTCTTCTTCTTTGTCTTTACTGGCGTAGATCGCGCCTACGCGATTATAGCCGAGTTAACAACAGGACGCCATTCATTCCTTCTTTTCGCTATTTGGCTCCAATCGGGTATACCGAGTAGAGCCATTTCGATCTCTACCTGGTTTTACCAACGTTGTGGAGGTCTTCCTCTTCCTCTGCTTCTACTGCACCGAAAACTTTCAAAGCTGGACTATTCTTATCCATTCGGACCACATGACCTAGCTAACGCGGCGTATAATTCGTATAGCTCATCATTCCATCGGCTGCGGAATTCGCCGTTCCCAACTAAAAGAGGTCCTTGCGTAAAATATTTCTCTCGAAAACTCCTAACGGCGACTCGTCAGATATTGTCATCGTCCATGCCTCCGCAACATCTACGAGGTGTGACGATTAAGTAATGAGACTGATTCCATAAAAACCGATGAAGCATCCAGTTACGAGCGATGTCTGGGCGCACCCTGTTTGCACGATTTCGCAACCTTTCGAGTACTTGGCGATAGTACACTTGATTTACGGTTTGCCCCGGTGGAATAAATTCTTTGTGGACGATTCCACGGCATCACGACTGGACTCCCGCTCCGCGCCTCGTATTCCTGGGCGAACTAAACAAGCATTTCAAGTTCCGTTCTCAAAGGCAGTACCATAAAAGGTATTAAAATTTTAAATTTCGCCTCTTGACAAACAAATATTTTTCTTACGGAGCCTTTTTCGGCCGCTTTTTGCTCGATATTTTTCAGCCTCGAATTTTCTGGCTACTAATTTACAAAATCACGTGCCGGGCTGACCGTCAGCCACCAAACTATGGTCGAACAATTTCGCAGTTAGTGTCGGATTCCCAACTTTCCGGAATTTAGTAGCAAAAAAAACAAATGGCATATTAATCCGATCCGATGCGATGCATGTAAATACCAAAAGGAGAAGTTGTAAACCCATCTAATTGTAAACCGACCGGATCAGTATGTTGTACGGAGTTTGATTTAGCCATGTCCATCTGCCCCTCTGCTTGTCTGCTTGTACGCAAACTATTCTCTCAGTTTTTGAAAAATACAATATAAACCAAACTTGATACACTTAAACATGGGATCGAACCACTATGGCGTATATGACCAGTTTTCTTTTCCAGATTTTCGATTTTGTGTCGCAAATTTCTCAAAACAGCAGCTAAGAAAGTGAATTTCGATATTTCCCATATACCAAAGAAATGGTGTTGAAAATTAATGAAATCGAACTACTAAAACATAAAACTCCCCTAAACCCCTTTTTTTCAGATATGAGACATTGTCAAAAAAAAAAAAAACCCATCCAAGGGTGTGAAATTCGGTATTCTACATTCGTATCACGTACACGTATAAAAATTGTCACCGATTAGTTTAGTGTAAAACAAACTTTCAACAAAGCATCTACAAGCGTGAGATTTAATATTATTAATTGCTCCTTTTATAAATTATTTTTTTATTAATAATAAATTATTGCCAATTTCAGGGTTAAGCCACACTTTTCGATCATCAGATGCACAAATAATGTTATCTAATACACTTTGCCGTTATTTTCGATTCGAATTTTTCTTATATACGAGGGAATTAACAAGAGTACGGTGAGTTGGTGACTCAATTTGTTTTTGTTAAATCTAAAAATACCAAATCCTTTGCAATTACTTTATTAGTCTTCCTTTCAAATTTTAGAAAGATCGGCTCAAATCGAGACGAGAAAATATAAGATAGCTGAGGATAGGTCAGGCGAAATTCCACCCCCAAGGCAAACAGAAATTCGACATGTGATTCTTTTCGGAACTCGGCATAATTTACAGCCAAAACAAATATTCACTGAACGCCAAATTGCATATGGAACGATCTAGATAAACTACTTTTAATTGGCTTCGAATATTCCAGACCGGACATTTTTCTGTACAGGACGAACTGCGAGAAGGTCGACCAAAATCTTCCACTGATTACATCACTGTAGCTCTGATCCCGAATTATTGCTAATGAATTGGGCTTAAATGCCATGGCTGCATCGTGAATATTAAGTAATCAACCGGGACACACGAAGAAATCTGATCGGTGGGTTCCACGATTTTTAAATGAGGCCCAAAAAGAGGTTCGAGTGCATTTTGTACAAGTTTTCCTAAACAAATTTGAAAATGGCCTATCTGGCAACTTAATGTAATGATGCCAGTTTACTTCACCCGATATAAAATCGTGGCTGCTATTCCACGGGAAAAGGGTCAGACGGTAACTGCGAGTGCTTACCAAAAGTTTTAAAAAATTTATTGGAAACAGGAAGAAAGAGGATTTGCGGCGTTACTTTTTACATCATGACAACGCGCCATTCCACACTGTTGAAATAACGAGTAATTTTAATGCGATCTCTGGGTTTGAAAAAATACGTCCAGCACCATATTTCTCGGTTTCAGTACCTTGTAATTTCTGGTTATTCTCAAAAATTAAAAAAATATTAAAAGGAAAAGTCTTTAATAGCAACGAGGAGATAATTATAACCGCATTAAATTCGAACTTGAAAAGTTTAAAAAGCAAGATTTTGAAGACTGTTTTCAGAAGTGGATCTATGGGCTTAAGGAATGCATTGAAATCAATGGCGCTTATGTAGAGAAGATAAAAGAGGACAACGATGACGAAAAGAATTTATTTGATATATTTTCTTTTTCAATTTACTAAACCCTCGAATTTATCATTTTCATAATCGTAAGAAATGGTTGGTGACACTTATTTTCCATTGATGCTGTTGGTTTTCTTGCAATCACTGCTTTTTCCATTAGCTTTAACCCTCAACAGATGTTGTTAAAAATTCAGGATTTCTACTAAAAAGTTGAGTGAATTATTGTTATTTTCACAATTTCGTGTTTTTGTTTTATACTTTTTCTGCAAAGTAACGGCTTGAACAGTGATATACATACACGTATGACTACTGCTCCATCATAAATAAAACTAAAACTTAGGTTTGCTGACTGCATACCGGACCGTAGTGACACCGTGGATTATGCATAATGCAGTGTGCGTCCAGCTGATCCGGTAGCAACAGAAAATATCAACAAAAAAAAAATATACAAAAATCGTACAATTGGCGGCTTATATGTACGATCCTAGAAAGTTTGTGATCTAAACACTGATGACGACTCTAAAATCACGTTCAACTCTTTGAAAAAAAAAAAAAACAAATTTTTGATTCAACCAACATTTTTAAGCTTAGAAATAATTTTTATAATTCGAGTTTTCCGCAAATATTAAATGGGCATATTGTATGTATGTATTTACCATTTCGAAGCGGTGTGACGGAGAAATGAAATCGACTACTTGTAAATCCATGAATAATGATTTTAATATCCGTTTTCGAAGGCAGCTGTTCCAATTCATTTACGGTAATTTCACCACTTCCTGCCGTAGTCACACTGAGTGAGTATGAATTTTACTTTAATTTAATTTATTTTAATTTTATTTTATAATTTTAAATACGCACGGTTGTTGGTAGTAAATATTGGACTTTGCTATTAAATCATCTATATCGTGGCCAACAAAGGCAGCCACGGGATCAACAAAAGTTAGAGTCTGCCATGTAAATAGCATGATTAATTGAAGAAAGAACATTTTTTTGCAGTTTAATAATTATTTATTTGTTTTTTTTTTTCAATTTCACACTAAACAATCTTTCGAACTTCGAAACGTTCACTACAAATCGACTGGAGATTTCACTGTGTTTACACAGTCGGTTCGGCAAGGCTTCTTATATTTATTACTCAGCTTGGCGTTTAGAAATAATAAAGCAATTTACTCTATCGCATGCTGACATTCTACTTAATATCGTTATGATGAACTAAAGGAAATTACTTATAATTTGTATTTTCTGTTTGCTGAAACTTTCCTAAGCACATACATACATACATACATACATATGTACAAATGCACTTAGGTATTTATTTGTTTGACGTTGTTTTATCGAAGTTTTGCGCAAGCATTTTGAAGGAAACTGAATGTAACCGCTATTAGCACTGAATTTACATCTATGAAATATTCATTTGAGATGAAATTTGAAAAAAAAAAAAATCATAAGGAAGAACGAAATTCGAAATGCAACCGTACATTAAATATTCACCTGTTTTGGTTGTTCGGTAAAAAGTGTCAATGTATGTGTGACGAGGGGATTAACAAAAGTTGAGTGAGTTGGTGAATTTCAAATTTGTTATTGTTAAATCTAAAAATACCAAATCTATTGCAATTTTTTTATTAGCCTTCCTTTCATATTTTAGAACCATCGGCTAAAATGAAGACGAGAAAACACCAGATAGCCGGGGATAAGTCAGACGATATTCCAACTCCAACGCACAGAGAAATTTGCCATGTGATTTTCTTCGGGTTTCAGCATAATTTACAGCCAATACAAATATTCAGTGAATGCCAAATTGCATATGGAACGATTTCACCGTCTGCAAAGACTATTTCGAAGTGGTCCCGTAGATTCCAGACCGGACAGTTTCCCCGAAGAGGACGAGGCCGGAGAAGGTTGACCAAAATCTTCTACTCATAAAGTCACTGTAACTCTGGTGAAGTCCACGATTGACGAAAACTCACGATTGACATAAGAAATGATTGCTAATGAATTGAGCTTGAATGCCATATCTGTATCGCGAATATTAAGGTATCAATGAATTTGAAATGAGGCTCAAAAATCGACCCTTGTGTATTTTGCTCAATTTTTCCTAAAAAAATTCAGAAAATGGTCAACCTTTGTAAAGTGTGACTTGGGAATCACTTTTTAATGACCGCCATTGAAAATGTAACAAAGACTATAAATTGAGGGAAGACACCGCTGTCCAATGACTGCTGCCGATATGACCGAATTTGGTATCCGCTCAGAACGGTTGTGTAAATTATTTGCGTCTTGACTGTGACATCACTCTTGACTCTACCCACTCTACGTAGTCTTTCCAACAGAATGAAGATTTCTCTCTGCTTCTACCGGCGGGTACTGCACGAACATTTTCAAAGCTCCATCCGAATCACATGACCTAGCCAGCACAGCCACTGTTTCTTGATTTGCTGGAATTCGCTGAACTACGCCAATATCGACGTATGTCCCGTACAGCTCATCGTTCCATTAGCGTTAGCTGTTACCAAGGCCTACTCATCAGATGTTGTTATCGTCCATGCCTCTGCATTATACAGCAGGACGGAAACGAAGAGGGACTTGCAGAGTTTGGTTTTCGTTCGTCGGGTGAGGACTATGATTTTCAATTGCCTACTCAGTCCAAAGTAGCATCCGTTGGCAAGACTGGTACTGCGTTGGATTTCCAGGTTGACATTGTTATTGTCGTTCTTAATTATGTACAATTTCAAAGTTATAGCTGTCAACAGTGACGTGGGAGCCGAGTCGCCAATGCTATGACAGTGTGTTTGATGACAGGAGATATTTTGTCTAGCCCTCGTTCACTGCCAGACCCATTCGCTTAGCTTTCGTATTCAGTCTGGAGAAAACAGAACTCACACACTCTCACGATAAAGAGTCACCTTGTCTAAAACCTCAAGCCCAAGCTCAAACATAACGGCGTAAAAGAACCCTTTTTTTGGTTGTATCGAAGGCGGCTTTGAAACCAACAAAAAGGTGGTGTGTGTGTCTAGCCTCTTTTCACGGGTCTTTACCAAGATTTGGCGCATGGTGAATATCTGATTAATGGTTGATTTACCAAGTCTGAAGCCCTGTAATCCCTATGCTATCTGCCAAAATTTAATGTTTCGATCAGCCAGTACTCATTTTTCGACTTTCTTCAGTCACGACCGCCACTGGACGCCATCTTCACAATTCTCTCCTCCTTGTTGAAACATCTTTCAAAGTTTCTTGTGACGCTCTCACTTTTTTTACAAGGAATTTAATCACAGCGCGGTGCTCCAAATCGCGAAGATTTCCAGTTTCCGTTGGCATAGTGTTGTTGCTTGTTTCAGGAACGCAATGTTAATGAACGTAATAAAAAACCAATTGTGTTTTTATACCAATAATGATTACCGTAATTGGTATTATCAGTAACGAGATGAGATGCCGTCTCCATCCACCTCAGGTCGCGACTTAAACAACCGTCCCTCGTATATACCACTGTCATACCGCCGCAACATCCAAGAAACTTTTCGCTTATAAAATTATTGATTTATAACATGGCATACAGTTTTATTCAAAACACAGTTATAAAAATAAAAATATTAAAAAAAAATTAAAAAACATAAATATTACTTTTTGACACACATTAAAACAAGAACAATGTACATACATATATACATCGAGATAAACATATTTAAGTAAACTAATTTCATAGTTAACACCGAGACTCCTTTCGAGTATAATTTGAGATATTAAAGCAACAATTAGAAACTTTTTATTTTTTCCCTCAGAAAACTTTGAACACAGGACCTCAACGTGATTCAGTAATGGTAAATGGCAAAAATGCATGCACCCATAAGTAAGAGAGCCTGCGTATGAGGAGTGATACATACGAGTATACATGCATACTACGTATGTAGGCACTCACTCACTTAAAGTAATTAATATAAATTTAATAAACTATTTCCTCTCCAAGTCACCATCGCCGGCCACGGGACGGATCATCATGCGCACAGCCCGCAGTGAGTAAGTGGGCCCACGGAAATCCTGCCAGTACATGCCCTCATACAAAGGAGTCATATTGTAGTTGTCCTCGAAGTATTTGCCGTTCAAGTTGCTATTGGAATGTTGTTATTAATGCAAGGCAATTTAAAATTATTATTGAAGTTTCCGAGAGAAAAATCACCAACTCACCTCATGTCGCACCAGTTGTACCACCAAGCGCCGTGCCGTGACTGTGCACAATTGCAGTCAACGCAACCGTCATTGTCGTTGTCGTAGGTGGAAAATTTGCTGCCTGCATGATAGGTGAATGAGTCACCGGCATCACCTTCATGATCGCCTGCAATTGTTTTTTATTTATATTCAAATTATCTGCACTCATCAGATTCATTCGCCTTCACTGTTTTACAAACATTCTTCTTACCTAATAAATTAAGCGCATAATCTTCTTTCTCGCCGCCGATGCCAAACAGATTATAACGTGCATAACGAGAGTTACCCTCAAAGTCCTGCATCGTAATCAAAAGCTCATGCACCGCCGACGAGGTGAGAGCGTGCAGTTTTTCGAGGCCGATGAAATATTCGCCACCCAAATTGCCAAAACCAGTTTGATAGTCAGCCCAGCCGCGAAAGAAGTTCAATTTGCCATTGAAACGATTTTGAATAATGGTCCAGCCGCCGCCGAACAGCTCTTCCTCGCATCTCACATAGAAAGGTTCTGATTCGGGTGTTAGTTGGATACTCAAAATCCCGTTGACAGTGGGTGCGTCTTGTGAGCAGCTGGTTGGGAGTGGTTGTGCTGGATGTTGGTTTGAATAGTAATTTGGCTGTTGTTGTTGTTGTACACTATTTCTTCGGATATTTTTAAGACTGCGAGCCACCATGCTGTAAGGAATGGAAGTAAAAGATGGGAGTTTTAATTAGTTATATATGTATGTAACAGATGTTGTATAAATACGCCTGAAAGAGGGTTTGGCAGGAGAGCTAAAGGACAAACTAAAGGCTACTAATTTGACTACTTTTGGAACTACCACGAACTTGTAGACAAAAACAAGGCTCTGAGGCAAGCAAAAAGTGAGGTTAAGGTGATGACAAAGACGGTTAAGATCTCTTCAGATGGTACAAAAAGATCGCAGTTACTGCCAAGTCTAACGCATTTGAAGAGCTTTGTACAGGGTAATTAGTCTGCCCAGCTTTAAAACAGCATAAATGTGTGGACACTCTAGCTCAAAGTGAAATTTTCACTATGCTCAATTCCATTCTATTCCATTAGTAGGCAAAAAAATTGTGGGTAACATTTTCTCCTAAGACCGGAAAAGTTACTCCTAGTAGTACAGTGAGTCTCAGACTCATAGGTCCATCTTCTTTTGCACTTTAGATACTTTAGAGGGTTAAACGTAACCCCTACTATTCGACGATTAGCTTTCATGCCAAAAAGGCAAGTATTCAGAAACTATATATCATAATAAGGCCTACTGCGTGGTATCTTTCTTGGACGTGGAATCTCCCTCTGAAACTCTTTCCCAGATGCTGTAAAATCTGAAATAGAAGATTTAGGTGTGAATCCACCATGGTGAACTTTGTTATTGACGGTGAAGGTGGCTTGGCTACTGGCTTTCGACAGACAGTGAGGCTAAAGTTCGAGAATCTGTTTGGATTTCAATATTGATTTTACGACAAAGCAAAAAGAATTACTGGAGCCATTTGCCATCAGACCGATACGTTTCTGTTTTGGCTACTCGCACCAAGTTTACGATACAGATTCCTGGCAGAGAAGATTAGGTAAACAAATATAACGTCAATGTATACAAAGATAGTTCAACATTTAATGGTAGGGAGGAGGTGTATTCTTGAGTAACTCTTCAAGTGACCAGATTATTCCAGTCTGTTCCCCGCAAAAGTTCTATAACCCAGAAGCCATTAACAAGATCATCAGCTTCAGTGACAGTCAAGCAGCAATAAAAGCTCTAGGCTCGATCACAACAAACTCTACAGTCGTACTGCACTGTCGTAGAACACTTTAAAAATTGGCTGGGTTCTGGTGAGCTACAGATCAGACGAACTTGCTGTGAAAGCTACGATCAAGTAAATTTTTTCGTATAAAGAACACATTGCTATCCTTCTAGCCACACACAAACTGAAAATAATATCTAGAGCTTTAAGGTGAGAACAAAAGTTGAACTGTCACAACTCGAGTCAAAGTTTGCTGGAACGAAACCAGCGAAGGTTGGAGGGCTTATATCCAGTGAAAAAGTAGACCTTTTCAAAGGTGATCGGGATGCTAAAGTCTTATAAAAAGGTATGAAGAAAGGCTTGAGTCTCCTTTAAGAATATGCTGCAGGAGAGTTGTAAGAATAAAGAGAAGCAAGAAACAAATGCTCTACTCTAACTTAAAGTAATCTTCGATATGAAGTCACTTTTATTATTGTATTTAAAAACTGTAGTAACCCCTGCGGATTAGGGGTTCAAGAATTTACCCGTGGTAAGGCATGCCTGTCGTAAGAGGCGATAAAATCCAATAGTTCCCGCGACAGTCGGGTCTTTATACCGGAACGACCCGGATTTTTATCCGACCAAGGACTGTCACTCCCGCCGCATTTCTCAAAAAGTTTTTTGGGGAATATTTTTGCGGTTGCAACAACAACAACACCTAATGAAATTCATAAAAGCGTCTAAGTGGTCTAGTGTTTCAAAAACCTTCACGCTCTTGAAATATGTACGAGGAGCGGCTGATAATCTAACGACCTAAGGTAGTTAGAGATGACACATCATTATTGGTATAAATAACACAATTATTTTTATTAGGTTCATTAAAATTTCGTTTTTGGAACAAGCAACAACACCATGTCGACGGAAACTGAAAATTCTTGCAATTTGGAGCACCGCGCTGTGGTGAAAAAAGTAGGAACGCCAAAAAAAATCTTAACGAGATGTCATTGGTTCTTCAGAAGTCTGTCAATTCATATACGATGGTGAAAAAAATGTGGTCGGCTGCTTCAACACGGAAGAGAGACCTGTGAACGTGGCGCCCAGTGGCGTTCATGACTGAAGAAAGATAACTGATTGGCAAAGAACGAGTTGAAGAGATTTTACATGAACATTTGAATATGAAATAAATTATTGCGCTTTGGGTACCAGGAATGATCAGGCCACTCGACAAGGAGCGACGATCGCAGAGTTGTGAAGTTTTTTTGGAGTTAAGTTGAGATGATTTGGATGAAATTTGCATCCGCATTGTAACAGTTGTCGAAACTTGGATTCGCCAGTATGATCTCGAGTCCAAACAGGAGTCGATACAGTGGATAAAATAAGGGCAAAGGCCACCAAAAACAAATCAAAGTGGAAAAGAAGGCGTTAAAATATTATGAATATCAATTACTGGGAAAAATTATTAATTCATTATTTGCAAAGGGAACTACAACGAACGGCAAGTAGGCAGCCGTACAGAAGAGACATGACAAGTTAGCACGCGGAGTGCTGTTTCTTCAAGACAACGCACCCGTTCACACCGCTCGGGTAGCGAGGGTTGCCTTAAAAGCTACTGGATCTACAGAAATTGATCTCCCACACTACTACCTACCAACGTGGCTCCCAGTGACTATTTCTTTTTAGTCAAATTTAAAAAAGGAGTTCCGGAGACGAAGATTTTTAGACGACAGTCGGATGAAAAAAGCTGTAGAAAGAGAAATCTAAAGAATATTTTTTCAGTGAGTGTATTTCACTTGAGGGAGATTTTATTGAAAAATAAAAAGCATAGAAATATCATTTGTTGCATTAAGTACTTTAGGCCACTAACCTATCAGCTAGCCCTCGTATATGAAAGGTTAAGACAAAGGTAAAATAAAATAAATTAAACATTTTTTAGTTTTCGGAAAGCGCCGGCCATATATATTTATTTATACGTTATGCGAAATCAATTTATTTTCTTAAAAGTCTCTTTAGTTGAAATCACTGCGCCGCTGGTGAAGAGACAGTCTCATCGCTTATTGCCTCATCTCAGCTTAATAAAAATAATTTTTTTTTTTTAATTTAAAGCAAAATCACAAAAGTATGTATGTGCAACCTCAACACCAAATTCCTTCTCGAGTGTTAAGAATTTTAATTATCACTGAAGGTGATTATTTAAAAGGCGCATCACGATTGCCACACATTTTATTCGATTTATTTGCATTGAAAGTATCAAAATTCAAAAATTCTACATAAATTTAAGCGTCAACGAGGTACAACAACAACAACAAAAACAAACGTGTCAATCAACTCAAGCTCATTCCGTGCATATTTCAAAACAAAAGACTTCAACAATTTAATATCACTTTGTGGCACTTAAGCATCAGGGAGTCGGCGGCGTAACGACAAACAAAAGAAACATTCATATTTATAAACTTTAGAATGTAACTAACTCGAAACAATTATAACTGCTATAAGACATAATCATAAATATGTATGTAATTACTTACTTTGACAATCTGCTGATATTCGATTCAAGATGATTGTTCAATTCATTCACGGCCGAACGCGTCGATAGCAATAACGTCCCCAAAGATTCGATTCTCTCTTCGTTAGTGATCATCTGTGGTAATCGATCGTTGGTTTGGCGAGCAGAACGTAAAACGATTTCTGGAAAGTGAGACCAATTGTAAGCACTTTATGCAATTCACACACACACACACACACATTACATATATTCAAATATTCTAAAGCGTTCTTTATTTAATTCTTAAGCATTGAACACCAAAATTTGTATAAAAGCAAAAATATATGTATTTGCCTATTTTTTTTTTTTTTAGTTTCAAAATACCAATTCTAACCTTCTTTCTTTCTCTCATCATTCAAGTCACCTTTCAATTCGTCAATATTGCGTTTCGTTTGGCGTTCCATGTAGTCAAGCGTGTCCAGGCGCTTAAGGAAGTCGGTTTGCTGTAGAGCCAATGAGTCCAAGCGACCCAAGTTGTTCGCTTCGAATTGACTCATTCTGTAAGAAATATTTAATAAAAAAAAATATTATTAATTAATTGCATGCGTTAATAAGTGAGGGAGAATTTAGTTAAATATGACTGCAATTCAGATGAATTTTATTCTACGGCAATGCCAGCCATATTTGGTATAGACATATCCTAGCCAAAACAAGCCTTATAATTAATAAAATTAAAAACAATACTGTACTCAAAACCAATAGCTATCGGAAACGGAATCTACGAGGGGATTAACAAAAGTTCGATAGGTTGACCAGAAAAAAAAAATTTTTGTATTTATACATAATCTTTGCCCTCTTTTTATCTCCTCTACATAATCGCCATTGATTTCAATGCATTTCTTAAACCTTTAGATCCACTTCTGAAAACAGTCTTCAAAATCTTGTCTTTTAAACTTTTTAAGTTTCACATTAACCGCACTAAATATCTCCTCGTTGCTTTGAAAGACTTTTCCTTTTTAATTTGATCCACTTCTGAAAACAGTCTTCAAAATCTTGTCTTTTAAACTTTTTAAGTTTCACATTAACCGCACTAAATATCTCCTCGTTGCTTTGAAAGACTTTTCCTTTTTAATATGTTTTTTTTTTATTTTTGAGAATAACCAGAAATTACAAGGGGCCATATCCGGGGTATATGGTGCTGGACGTATTACTTCGAGCCCACAGATCGCACTAAAATTACTCGTTACTTCAGTAGCGCGGGGTGACTCGTTGTCATGATGTAAAAAGTAGCGCCGCAAACCCTCTTTCTTCCTGTTTCTAACAAATTTTCGAAAACTCTTGGTAAAAACTCTTCGGTGTATCATTTTGCAGTTACTGCCTGACCCTTTCTCAGAGGAAAAGGTGCAACGATTTTAGATCGGGTGAAGTAAACTCACATCAATTCTTTTGCTACTGATTTTTGTTGGGGGTTTATTTCTGTTGGGCTCATTATCATGGAGTGCTGTTTGGTTTCTGGATCGTACTTATAGAACCAAGATTAGTCATCAACAACGACTTTACTAAAGTTGCTAAACTGACCATTTTCGAATTTGTTTAGGAAAAATTGCACAAAATGCACTAGAACGTCTTTTTAGGCCTCATTTGAAATTCGTGGTACACATCGAGCAGATTTCTCAGTGTATCCCAAATGATAACTTAATATTCACTAGAAAGCCATGGTATTCAAGCCCAATTCATTAGCAATAATTCTGGACCAGAGCTACAGTGATGTAATCAGTGGAAGATTTTGGTCAACCTTCTCGCAGTTCGTCCTATACAGAAAAATGTCCGGTCTGGAATATTCGAAGCCAATTAGAACTATTTTATAAAGATCGTTACATATGCAATTTGACATTCACTGATTATTCCCATTCGCTATAAATTGTGCCGAAATCCGGAGAGAATCACAAGGTGAATTTCTGTTTACGTTGGTGGTGGAATTTCGTCTGACTTATCCTTAGCTATCTTGCATTTTCTCGTCTCCGTTTTAGCCGATCGTTTTAAAATTTGTAAGGAAGATTAAAGAAGTAATTGCATGGGTTTTGGGATTTTTAGCTTTAATAAAAACAAATTGAAAATCACCCACTGATCGAACTTTTGTTAATCACCTCGTAAATATGCATTAAATACATATATACCGCGGCCACGGAAGCCGAGTGGTTAGCATTGCGTACTGCCATTTGGAAGGCTCGGGTTCAAATTTTGGTGTCGGACTATCATCCAAAAAAGTTATAGAAAACTTATTTAAAATAAAAAAAATAATTTAAAATTTTTAATTGTGGTCGTCCCTCGGCAGTATATTTCTGACTTGAAATAAAGGCTCCTCGTAAAAAACAGCCATCAGCCGCTCCGAGGCGGCTTAGTATAAACTGTAGGTCCCTCCATTTTGTTGGAAAAACATCAAGACGCAACCCCACAAATTGGAAGAGGATCTCGGCCGAGAATCGCTTTAGCAGTTACAATGCGCCAATTATATACATATATATATACATATTTAACTATATAGCAGTGGCCCCAACTTTTTAACAATTTTCTAGGTAGTAAAATTGTAAACCACATTTTTTGTTGTCAAGAAGTACATACATATATCATTTTATGGTAGAATTTGAAAATTTGAGAATTTGAAAATTTTTGAAACATGTTTCTGATTGAAATTTATTATCATAAGCAGTTCAATTTCATAATTTCATGAACTTGTCATGCTCCTTTTTGCATGCATTCAATTTTTTCAACTGGATATGTACATATGTACATATATTATATATATATAAATTCAGATTAAATTCCTCTTTGTATTCTTCCTTAATAATTCAAATTTCAAAATTAAATTTTGAGTTAATTATTAGCAACCTTGATGCGAATTGTAGAAATATTTTATGTTGTGCCTATTCGATAAACTGTAATTTGCACAACTGTAATTTAAAATCTTTTATTTTGTGCTTTTCATCTTCCATTGCGATTTGTTTACAAATAAAAACGTAAATATACACAAATACATATATATATATACATACGTATTCATACTATTGTATATTTAGAGAGACTCGCATGTAGTACATGCTTAAGTAAATAAATAGTCATGCTGACAGAATTTGTCAATCAGCCAACTTGACCGACTTGTTGGCTTTTACGAGCTCAGACAGACAGATGAGCGCTTGCGAGTCTTTCAACGTCACCCAGAGAGTATATTTTTTTTATTGTTATTTATTGGATGTAAAATAGTTTTATCATAAGGGTAATCACCGTTCGGTGCATCGTTGCTATTTTGGCACCGATATTTATTTTCACAAAAGTTTTTGATGAAAAAATGTACGCGCGAATTCATCAATTGAAAGCGGCTGCGTCAATTTGGCTCTAACTATGTTCAATGGGTTGTAATTGCCAGTTGACGGAAATAAACGAGTAAACCATTTATTAGAAAACATCTAATTTATGGTTCCATTTCCTTGAAAACTGGTACTTGGGGAGCCCTTTTCTTAGACTGAAACACTACTTTTTCTTACAGAAAAGCGATCTGGAGCCGATCTATTCTCGAAGTCTTAGATTATTCAAACTTTGAAATGTTTTATCTTTACTTTGAAGGTTGGAAACACATAAAGTGCGATATATTAAATTTGATTTACAGAAAGAAGACTTCTCAAGTTCGAAATAAGAGTTCTGTTAGCAAGTAAACGAGACAAGTGCTTTGCGTGGTGGTATTGGTAAGTTTTCCAAAGGAAAACAGCATAAATCAGCATTACCAACCAAGTGCGCCATCTTTGGACTTTCTACAATTGTGACAAAATAGTAGTAAAATTTCTAGTAAACCAAGTTGACGCATTAAATCTCTGGAATGGGTACAAAGTACCTGTTTACTGTGTGTAGCAGTTGGAAGAGAGAACTACCAAACATAGGCTCTGGAAGTCATTCTTGACGTCAGGCCAATTAAATTACAGGTGCAAGCCAAGAAGATTGGCTAGAAAGCGGGGCTATCAATAACTTTGTAGATATTTGTATATATTTAATTGTGAGACTGGCGCGGGAGGGAAAGTTTTCTGTGGCCAACTAAGGTAGCCTCTGTCTTCCAAGCAGATGTTGTGGGCATTGCTGAAAGTGCAACCGTTTTAAGAGGGCGAGTATATTAGATTTCTTTTAGGTAGGGAATAAACGAATTAACACAGGAGAACACATTGAAAATCACAATGAATTCCATTTCGTAAATAGAAAGTAATGAAAATGAGGTTTGGAGCATTTCACTAACCTACTATAGAGATAGCATACAGACCAAACATCTGCTGGTTCTAAGCAATAGAAATTTTTATACTTGTAAATGTGCTGACGGGGCATCTATCCAGAGCCTATGCAAAGGACAACGATACGCTGGAGCATTACCTTTGGGAGTGCCCGATCTTCAGTCGATTAAAACGTTAATCTTTCTGACTAAACTAAAACATTTGGTAAATATCGTGAGAATTATTAATCTGCCGACTATCGCATTCAGGTCCCGAACCTCGTAGTAATATTTTTCTTAAGAGCTTTTGAATCGATTGTTCGACTTGTCGATTATGTTTTCGTGATTTAAAGTAGCCTTTAGAATAAAAATTCAATTCATATCTATTAATTCAAAGATTATTTTCAGGTTTTCAAAGACAAGTTTATATTGATAAACTACTAGTATTTCACAATTACGAGGTATAATGAGACTAAATCCATAAAAACCATATGTTTCAAAATTATTTTACAACTCTGTCATCCCCTTCAAAGTAGTTCCTTGAAAAGCTGTACAACGATTTCTCCGCGTTTTCCATGCTTCGTAACATTTATGGCCCTCTTCGACTGGGATGCCCGCAAGTAACTTCGTCACGGCCGCCTGGATGTTCTCAATCGACTCAAAATGGGTTCCTTTGTTCACCAATTGTATTCTAGGGAACAAAAATATGGTCACATATCGGCGAATAAGGCGGTTGTTGCAACACGGCGATCCCTTTAGAGGCCAAATACTGGAACGCGCTGAGAGCGGTGTGGCATGGTGCGTTTTCGTGATGAAGGATCCAGTTATGAGCGATCTGTGGGCGCACCTCTGTTGACTCTTTATGTCATCGAAGCGCCTGGGCACGACTAAGAGCACTATCACCATGGATTTTTACAATTTTAGCGTACATTTCCGAAGCTGATTCGACCAATTTGGCGCAAAATTTTATTGCGACGAGTTGCTCTCGATTTCGTTTTTCCATTTTCATGACGAGCACCACGAGCACACGTTTACTTGACACGACACAGCAGGCGAACTAAACAAGCTAGAGCGATGGAGTGGAGAAAGGTGCCGGGAGAAGGGAAAAGGAATTTCAGGGTCGCAGGATTACCATGATCGCGGCTTAATTGTCACACCTCGTATGAAACTATTTTTTTTTTAATTTTCCAATGACAAAAATACAAAACATAAACAAACATATTGTACATATATTTACACTAAAGCGGAATAAGTAAAATAAAAAAAGTTAAATTTCGCCTTTATAAATTCGCCTTGGTAGGGATGTAAG